AACTTTTCTTCTTCTGTTGCTCATTTAACCAGCGGTCTTCCTCAAGGCTCTATTTTGGCACCCTCTCTTTTCTCCCTGTATATGCTTCCTCTGGGAACCATTCTAAGAAGACATGGGGTGTCTTTTCATTTTTACACCGACGATACCCAAATTTATCTACCTATCAAGAGAAACGATCCCTCTGCTTTTACTTCTTTAATAAAATGCTTAGATGAAGTTAAATTTTGGCTAGCCCAAAATTTTCTATCCAATCCCAATATAACAGCCAAAAAAAAAAAGTCCAGATTCAAAAACACTTTGACTCAATCAGCTGCATGAGTTTGGGGCGGGACTATCTGCTTGCCCGACCAATATCAGATGGGGGACACCTTTAAAAACAGTAATTGTTTTTGCAATTCAATTTGGTAACACTAGAGGCGCACCTTCAAGTCAAATTTTATCATTATTACATGTCTTTGAAAAAGGTCTCTTATGCTCACCAAGGCTGCATTTTTTTAAATGAAAAATTCAGTATAAACAATATTGTGAAATATTATTACAACTTAAAATAACTGTTTTCTATTTTAAAATGTAATTTATTCCCGTGATGACAAAGCTGATCATTATCAATGTTGAAAACAGATGCTGCTTAATATTTTTGTGGAAACTGTGATACATTTTTTCAGGATTCATTGATGAATAGAAAGTTCAAAACAACAGCATATATTTGAAATATAAATATTTTGTATTATTATAAATGCGATCAATTTAATGTGTCCTTGCTGAATAAAAGTACAGATTTTTTTTAATCTGAACCCAAACTTTTGAATGTTAGTATATCATGGTTTCCACAAAAATATGAAGCAGTACAAATGTTTTCATCATTGGAAATAGTAATACATGTTTCTTGAGCAGCAAATCAGCATATTAGAATGATTTCTGAAGGATCATGTGACACTGAAGACTGGAGTAATGATGCTAAAAATTCAGCTTTCCCATCACAGGAATAAATTACATTTTAAAATAGAAAATAGAAAACATATTTTAAATTGCAATAATATTTCAATAATAATATTACTGTTTTACTGTATCTTATCAAATACATGCAAACTTTGTCTGCATTAAAAAAAAATATATATATATATCTATATGAAATGAAAGCCAAAAACATTTTACTCACTGGCAGATTCAATTTGATGGCATCCACAGGTGTGTAAAAGGGCCACGCAAACTGATGCTTCCATAGAGTCTTCACAACCACATTCTGCATGTATTGTAGCTGGTTAGTTTTTCGGCCAGGCTTACCAGGGTTCGTGACCTCAGGAGGGGGAGGGTTCACAATAGGTGGAGGCACCTGGGCAGGGGATGTGACTACCGACATACTGCTCAGTTAAGGGGAAGAAGTTGCCTGAATGACGTCTGTACGTCTCTTAGCTCAGTTACAATGATCCTCTTGCTGCTCCTTAGTCCCACCTCGACACACACATCCCATCTCAGGACCTGAGTGTCAGCACGCTGCCAGTAAACGCAGAGAAATATCTTATTAAATATACATGAAAATAAAGTCTCTCTCTCTCTCACACACACACACACACACACACACACATACATACATACATACATATATATATATATATATATCTCAATGGAAATGTAACTGCAGAAAGATATCTATCTGTCTATCTATCTATACGTATGTATATATGTATACATATATACAATACAATATCAATAAAACTATTACTGCAGATATGATACCAATTAACACGATTTCTTTACACATTATACTGCTAAAATGCTATAATATATTGCATTATATTGCTATAGTGTACATTTTAATCTAATTTAAAACATACATACATATATATATATATATATCTCAATGGAAATGTAACTGCAGAAAGATATCTATCTGTCTATCTATATGTATGTATATATGTATACATATATACAATACAATATCAATAAAACTATTACTGCAGATATGATACCAATTAACACGATTTCTTTACACATTATACTGCTAAAATGCTATAATATATTGCATTATATTGCTATAGTGTACATTTTAATCTAATTTAAAACTTTATCAAGACCATCATCATGCTGGACGTTGACGTGCATGTGAAAAACAGTATTTGTATTCATTAATATTAATATTTATAACCATTCATGTACAGCAAATGAATTTAAAAATCATTTTCATTTTATTTGTGGTACATTTTACAGCTAAATGCGATATGGTGCATCTTCACCAGTAAATTAGTTAAAAGTCTGAACTGCAATATCGGGGGTTTCACGTGAAAAAATGACTAAAAATACATGGAAAAGGCTGAAAGATTCTATGAACTTGAGCGTTTCATTCCAACTACGTTCAATAGTAGCACCAACAAAACGAACATAATTTCGCTCGCTTATGAGAGGCCATGAAAAATTGCAGGTTTAGTCGGAATTAAACCAAAACACCAGCTAGCAAACTGCGCCCCTGCGCGCCCTCAAAAGGAGCTCTCTAACTGTAAATTTCACCGGAAACACATTTGCAATCGAGCGTGAAAGTAACTGCATCAGGCGTGTGTATATAAGTTCTTGAAAAGATGGCGGGCACGGGAGAGACAGGGCATCGAGTGAGGAATGCCGAGGATCGAGCCCCACCATGTCTTTAATAACCATTGTGTGTGCATGCCGTTCAGCCAGCTAGCTACTCAGCGGGCTAATTTGAAATCAGCCCACAATGCATCTTCCAGCCCGGTTTTTACACTTGATACAATGAGAAAAACAGCGCAAACAATTACAGCGAGCTCTACGTTTACGGATAGAATGGGCTGCGCGTTAAAGAAGGTTTTGTTACATTGTTGCAAAGCGCCGCTCATCGGCTCCACTCTGTCAGAGGAGATCCTGCTAGCCACATTCAGCTGTGTTTTCCCCCCAAAAGACCAATATACATCACCTAAACTGAATATAAACTTCGATCGGAATGCGCTAAACATAAATATGTATGTTATATTTTATTACTTTCACTCCAAGCAGCTCCGGTAGCGTTTTCCTTGCAGATTTTCGGGTAGCTTTTATTGCGAAGAAGCATAATAGATGGCTGGGGTCGACACTGGTTGGGTAGTGTTGTGCGCATGCGCGCTGCGTCGCACGGTATTGTGGTTGTTGTTGTGTTATGAATAACTGTCGCTCTCTGCGCCGCTCAGCCGTTAACGTTCTCATTCCAAACCTCCGATATACACATGTCGTTTATTACAAATATAGAATTGACACTGCAATATAAAGTAAGCAGATCATGTGAATAACCTTGAATATGTTTGTGGTGGGTTGATGAACAACTGACAATACTGCATATAAGAGTTACTTACAAAATAAATAAATGCATAGAAATATTTGTGCTTTTATTAGTTTACTTCTATCTATCTATCTATCAATCAATCAATCAATCAGTCAGTCAGTCAGTCTGTCTGTCTGTCTATCTATTATAAACCCCAAAATTACTATGTAATTTTATTAGTAAGTACTGAACAATAATGAACAATTGTGTGAAAAAGCGACAATGTAGGTAGATAGATAGATAGATTTTAGGATTAATATGATGTCTAATAAAATATTAATATTGAATATAATATTTAATAAACCCGTTTTTGCAGGCAGTCGATAATGTGCTGCACTTGTTTTATCTTGCAACACTGGTGAAAAGAATTTCATAGGCTATATCAAAATAATATCATATTTCTAAATGTCCAGTAAATATGATACAATAATGTAAATACGATGTTTGTAATGTTGCATCTCATGACCGATGAGGTTTCCTCCTCCCAGTAGCCCCTCACTTTGCGATCAGCACTAAACAGACAAAACAGCGAGACTGACCCCAGATCAGCTTTGTATACGGAGTGATGAACAATTTTCTGTTCTATTAGTGCAGGGGTAGGCAAGTTCGGTCCTAGAGAGCCGCAGTCCTGCAGAGTTCAGCTCCAAAAGGGAACGCATTTATATAATATTAAAAAAATGGTTAATACTAAAAGAAGTGTAAGTGGTAGAAATAGAAAAGAAGAGGTTATTATAACTAGGATGAGACTTGGACAGTCAGGATTGAACGCTTCACTGTTCATAACTGGAATACACGAGACTCGTCTATGTGGGAATTGTGGGGAGAAAGAAACAGTGGAGCATGTAATATATAATTAGGCTATCGATTTTTTTTTTTTTAATCAAACTATCACGTTTATTTTTCAAACCCACTGGTCACAATTGAAAGCGGAGCTCAGAAATACCTTGTATCCATCAGACAGGCACTAATATAAAGTAACCTAATAATAAATTGAATAAATGTAAAATAAATCAAGGTAATGGAGAAGTGGCCAAATCAGTCAACAGGACACCGGGATTTTTCCTGACTGACTGCGGGGCTGCAGGCTGTACAGACACACGTCAATG